TGTGTTCGATTGTAGCTGTAAAACTGACAGTGGCTTGTCATTAAATGAGGTAATGATGAAAGGACCACTGGTTCAAGATGACCTGTTATCTATAATACTGCGATTTAGATGTTACAAATATGCAATTACGGCAGATGTAACAAAAATGTATCGCCAAGCATGGGTGACTGATGATGATGCGAATTATCAAACGATTTTGTGGAGGTCTTCCTCAGACGAAAACATAAAGGCCTATTGCTTGCGAACCATTACTTATGGTACAACATCTGCCCCCTATTTAGCTACAAGATGCTTAAAACAGTTAAGTGAAGATTATATAGATAAATATCCGATTGGATCGAGAAAAGTGTTATCTGATTTTTATATGGATGATTTGATCAGTGGATCAAACGATGAAGATAAAATTTTTGAAATATATAATCAAGTATCAGCAATAATGAACTCAGCAAAATTTAAGTTAAGGAAGTGGTTTTCAAATAGTGAAAAATTTCTTAATTTCGTACCTGAAGCTGATAAAGAAAAGACTCTTCGGATGAATAATGAGGAAATAATAAAAACTCTTGGTATCATCTGGGCTCCAGTGGGAGATACGCTCGAAAGCGGTGACAAAAAGAATAGTGTTGTCGGAACTATCTAAGTTGTTTGATCCCCTTGGGCGAAGATTTTCATGCAAGATTTGTGGATATTGAAGGCTATTTGAAAAAAAAAATACCTAATGAGGCATGCTCTGAGGATAACTCGAAATCTTCTTTTGTGACGTGGGTTGAAACCTTCAGCGATTTTGAAAAATTACAAAGAATTTTTGCCAATCTTCTTGGCTTTCGAAGAAGCGTTAAGTCTATGACTGAAAGATTAGATGAAGCACTAGTGCGTATATTTTACTGTGTGCAACAACATTATTTCAAAGAAGAAATTGAGCTGCTATTGAAGAATAGAGAATTGCCAGCAAACAGTAAATATAAAAATATGAGCATTTTTGTAGAAGATACTTATGGTGTTCCGCTACTACGTGTTGGTGGGAGATTAGCGAAGGCTGCATTACCATATGATGCTAAACATCAAATTTTGTTACCGAATAACTCAGAAATAGTTTGCAGTTTTGTACGATTTCTTCATTTCAAATATTTGCATGCTGGTACGCAAGCGCTTATGGCTATAGTTAGGCAGCGATTTTGGATATTTCATGCTAGAGGAGTAATACGCAAAATTACTGGTAGTTGTCTACAATGCTTTAGATGCCATCCAAAATTGAGTAATCAGATTATAGGCGATTTACCCTCTTCTAGAGTCACCGTAGCGAGGCCATTCACTGTGACTGGAGTGGACTTTTGCGGCCCTATTACAACAACGTATCTACTTCGTGGGTACAGAACAACAAAAAGCTATATTGCTGTTTTTATTTGTTTTGCCACAAAAGCTGTGCATATGGAGGTGGTCTCTGATTTGACTGCAAAGGCTTTCCTGGCTTCATTAAAAAGATTTGTAGCACGACGCGGCTTATACTTAAAATTATTTTGCGACAATGCCACTAATTTTGTGGGTACTCGTAAAGAGCTCGAGGAAATGAAATGCAAGTTTTTTGATCAACAAGTACAGGGCAAGATTTCAAAATATTGTACTGCCAATAGTATTGAATTTCATCATATACCACCCAGATCCCCCCACTTTGGTGGACTATGAGAAGCGGCTGTGAAATCAGCAAAATATCATTTGGCTAGAATATTGGGTCAATCGCATCTTACATTTGAAGAGCTGGCAACAGTGGTTGCGGAAGTAGAGGCAGTTTTAAATTCAAGACCTTTGACAACCTTGTCTAACGACCCAAATGATGAAAGCGTTCTTACACCGGCACATTTCTTAACAGGTGGTCCGTTGGTTGGAACTGTGGAACCTACTGTGGATAGCGAAGAATGGTCTCATAAAGATAGATGGCTACGAATTTCGGCCATACAACAACATTTTTGGAGAAGGTGGTCGGCGGGGTATCTTCATGAACTTCAACAGAAAGTCAAATGGACTAAGAAGCAGAAGAACCTTAATGAAGGTGATATGGTGTTAATTGCAGAAGAAAATTTGCCTTCTAAGCAATGGCTTATTGGGAGAGTGCTGAAAGTGACAAGAGATGCTAAAGGTTGGGTTCGAGTTGCTGATGTAAAAACAAAAAATGGAGAGGTTCGCCGAGCAATCCATAAATTGGCACCTATTCCATCTGAATGTTGATGTCTGCTGGAGCCATCAAAGGCGGCGATATGTTTAGAATTAAGATTTATTGTATCATGGCCTTTAATGTATTTGTCATTTTTGTATTGTGTCGTCGCCTTTAAGCACACGCGAAAAGGCGACATGTGTTTTTGAGAAATAATAAAGTAGTCGTGAAGAAAAGTAATCAGTAAACTAACTGAAATAAAACACCTATCTATTTAAATATCTATTATTTATGGATTAGATATTCGTTTAATAAGATTATCTTAATTTAAATATTTATTCTAATAATAATTTTCTTCTTTAACAGGCTAATTGGTCAATATTTAAATAATACACTTTTTAAAAAATTATTTTTGTTTTTTAAAAAATTTTCTAAAGTCATCTTCAGGGTACTATAATGGTCTTATAATGTAGCAAGAATTTAATGGGCTACATGAACAAGCAGTTAAGATGGCCAGAAGAGGTTCTGAACTGTATATAAGAGAGGCTGACCTTTCGGTACAAACAATGATACGCGAACTGTTTAGGTGCATCGAGGGTATCACCAATACGATAAATAACAATAAAACGAAAAGCCTTTTGGGCTTCATCGAACATGAAGTTCGTGCACTTACTAAAGTACTAACGGGGCACTGTGCCATTGCGCCTATGCTTTAATAGTGACGAGTTCCAACTAGTGTATAATGCAGGAGTTGTCAAGATGAGGAGCAAGTAGAATCCATCAACCACTTCCTGTGTCTCTGCCGAGGACTGCAGACAAGACGACTTCAAATTCTTTTTCACTGGCCTGAAAGAAATAACGAAAGCAAACTTATTGGATCTCCTCAACTTCATCTGGAGAACCAAATGGTGTAACAAGGATAGAAGATAATAAAGGCTAGCAACTTGCCTTTCTCTTCTAATCTTTGAGGGCATCACAATGGATAATATATGCCTACAAGTGAAAGTGCTGATAACTGTCAGCAAGCACCTTCTCAATCTAACTTAATCTACATTATATAATGTTCTACATTATAAGAACATTATATAGTACCAATTAACCCATTTAAAAACCAAATTATTATAAAACATTTTGTGCAAATAAAACAATAAAATATTTATTCTAAAATAATAAAAATTTTTAAACTTAATTATATGCTAATATTTTATATATACATAAATTATAAAACGATATGTAAATTATTTTTAAAGGACCACTGAATAAGTCGCCAGGGATTATTTACCAGATATCATGGCTGATAAGTAGAATATGTATCATTCTTGAAGAAAATTATTTTGCTAAACAAAGTTAAATTTTTAGAATATTTTTTGTGTTATTAATTTCACAAACTTATTGAGAGTTCTATATACATATGTATTCACTTGATATGCCCTTCAACAAAAAAGTTTTTCTAATGTTCACAAATTAACAAAAATGTTTTTTAAACATTAGAAACACATAATTTTTCTTTAGCAAGTTGGAATTCCTTCTCTGTGCATAATCATAATTTGATTAATATATTTTTAATGCACTTCTTAAAAAAATTATTTTTTTGAACTACCATTTTTTATCGACTCTATCTACTACACATGCATACACATTAAAGCTTAACCCAAAATCCTTTTTAATACTGAAATTGATTTTTAATGCAAATTTGTGCTCGTTAGCGTTACATGTATTTATATTACGCTTTAAATTCGCGTATTTTTCACTTCAATTTTTCCCTTTTTCCTTTTAAACTACAAAAAAGCTTCATCGTTTTTGGTATTTGTTTTAAGGCGTTTATTTTTCTATTGAAATATAAAAATTTTTAACAAATGTTTAAATAATGGCGCATTACAACCCGAATTTCGTTACAATATTAAATTATTTTATGTCTAGACAATATGTCGCGCGCTGTTCTATCGACCAAGTAAGCTAAGCCGGAAAGCTAAGCAGATACCAATCCATTCCATGCGCTATTCAACCCATTTCCCATGTGCTCACACATGCTAAGCAATTTGATTTTACTTTGCTTTGATGCTCAAAAAGAAAAATTTTGGCAAATTGAGAAAACAAAAAATTAGTATCAAGCAAAATATTATGCATCTCTTCGTCGACCGACATTGGCAGACCAGCCTGGTTTTGAACATAAAATTTACAGCTTACCAAATAAAATAAAAACAAAAAAGACGAAAAAATATTTGTAAAAAAATGGAATAAAATTTTTTAGGGTTGACTAAGCTCGGTTGGCATTTTATTTATTTTTTCCAAAGTTTTGCAGTTTTTATTGCCACAACGCAACACTATTGTGTACCATTTTTTACTAAATTAAAAATAAAAAAGGGCATCCTTTTTTGTGTAAAAAAAATCACATTTTATATGTACTTGCATGAAATTTCAGCACTATAAACACCAGAGGGGAGTGGGATAAATAAAGGCTAAAACCATTAAAAACAAACTGTAAACTCAAATGAAAAACTAACGACGAACAACTAACGAGAAATGACGTACGTATTAAGTCTTTTATAGAGCCAAAATGAAAAAAAATATCTTTAAATGAATGTTTACGCGCAAATAAAATCCTTCAGCACAGGATAACAAAAATTTCAGCAAATTGTTGATATTTAGCAAAAACAAATAAGTTAAAGGCGACCCACGAAAAATCTACACAAAAACCGAGCGCCTACTGCTGACCACAGTAGCACACACCAATTGAATTTCAAACATGAAAAAGGATAGGTTCGAATGGTAAAAAATGGCATAATAAATTAAGGTATTTTTTTTTTTTTATGTAGTAAAAATTGGACCACTATGAATCATGATGATTCGGAATAAAAACTAAATAAAAATATATTATTTTAAAACAAAATCAATTGTTAGAGACTAATTTTTCCGTATTAAAAACGGTGAAGCTGTGGGGATACATGGACTTTATCATTTCAAAAAATTCATTTTAATTTAATTATTAATTTTTATATCTAATGGTAAAACATGCACAGTGGGCAATTCCAATTGCAAAATTCCAGCGCGTTTACCTCAAGGGTAGATCTACGGAATCAGCGCAACATGAGGTCACTTACACTTTGGAAAAATCAATTCATTTTAAACAATTCTCTTTGGCAGGCAACCTGTTTAGATATGCAGGGATCTTCAATAATGTCTTCATGAAAACTACACATGACTCACTTGCCAGAATATGATTACAGAAGGAGCTCAAAAATTGAATAGTTACTGTGCTGAAAACAAGGGCTATTCTTGAACTTGAATTGTACGGCCGTTGCCAGTATTGTATTTCAAATAATTTAGATTCGAATAATTAATAATCTATATACAGTGTATATAAAAAAATATAGTATAAGTTTAGCATACGAAATCTATTATCATTACATATATAATGATCTATATATTATCTATATATAGATATATATTCAAACTCGAGTGAAACATAAGAAGAGCGGGGATTATTTAATCGCTATTGTGGCTGCTGGTCGTGGATAATATTCTTAATACACTCAACAAGATAGGCGTAAAAGCAGTAACATTTGCGAATTATGTGATTATTTTAGTGTCAGGTATGTTTCCTAATAATTATATATTTATATTATATTTATATTTTTTATATATAATACAAAGGGCCTTGGTTAAATTATGTACTTGGGTCACAGGCTATTGATTGGTTATTAATAGAGGAAAACCAAGATGGGACTGTTTATTTTATCAAGACCAAAATACCGACTTTAAGGTTGTCTTCATTAAATAAGCAACAGTTAAAACTGTCGGAAAAAGTCAAAAATTTAGAAATTCTGCTCGATAGTAAGCTAAACTGGAAACACAATGTCGATCGAAGAATCAAGAAGGTTTGTGTAGCTTTTTACTCTTGCAAAAGGAAGTTCGGCAAAAAATACAAGATTCGTTCCGATATTACACACTGTATGTACATGGCCATTGTACGCCCAATTCTTACATATTTCGTGGCTAACTATCAGTAAGAGACTATCAGTGTAGTAAACGTGATGCTGCACCTGCTGCCTATTGATTTGCTACCCATAGTCTGAAAGTGACAGGCGTCCGGTCGAACATAGTCGCATTATAGGTATAGTTCCGAATTGTCTGTATAGGATAACATCAGACTAAACTTTGAAACAAATTTTCAGATAACATTCCTTTCCAGAAGCAAATAGAAAAGAAGAAACTTTTAAGCAAATTATAGCAAGCAAGTATTCAAGCAAGTATAAAAAAGTACTAACCTCTAATTTCTTCACCTTTTAATTTACTTATAGTGCATTATTCTTACAAATAAATAGCCATTGAATTGGTCCTTGATTTCAAAATGTTTATTATTGAGTAGAAAAATTAATACACTAGTTTGGAACTGACTCAGATACTTAACATTATAGTTTTCCGTTTTAGAGAATTTTTTGCATAGTAAATAGAAATATTGAATGTCGGGATAGAAACTGAATAATTCTACACAGAGTTAATAGTGAATAATAGAAAATAGGTGTTCTAGTTT